GCAGTGTACATGAGGGGTTTGTGCTAGCCTAGCAATCTCGCATTAGATGTCATACAGACTGCATGAGCTCAGCTGCAGGAAGATTATCACATGACCTGACAGGCTGTGTAAGCTGTGCACCTTTCAGAAGATTATGATGTCATATGTTTACCTGTTTCCTGTAGTGAAGTATTTGTGTAATTTGTGTTGTGTAGTTGTCCTGTTTGGTTGATTGAGTGTGATTGAGTGTTGTACATATCCAGAGGTGTGTAACATCCATGCCAGTAGAGTTACAGAGATGCCTCCAGTGGTGACCATGAGTGAAATGGGCCCTAGAGTCCATTTCTTAAGTCCAAATAAGTGTTAAGTGAGAGGAAATATAAGAAAAAATGATAAAAGAAAAGAGTAATGAAGAATAATAAAAAACTTTGAATTTTTACACATTCAGCTACCACATCCTCCCCCAACTTATTGTCTGTCCCCAGACAATTCCACCAAAAAAAATGGCTGAATGTGTTTTAATGAGGAGTTGTGCTGCCTTGTGTATATTCAGACTTTTTGTCTGTTATGGGCATTCATGATTTTTTTTTTTTTTTTTTTTTCCAAAGAATTAATCACTCTGCCTCTTTTCATAAAGGGTTTTTTTTTTTTTTTTTTTTTTTTTTTTGCAAAAGAAGTCGAAATATGCGCAGTCCGCAGTCCGCAGTCCGCAGTCCGCAGCAGAAGACGTCAAGTTGTCGTAGCCTGCGCAGTAGCTCACATAATCCGGTCCAAGTCGCGCTCGAGTTTGATTTGGGGGTTCGGGGTTCCGATACCCGTCCCAAAGCCCGTGCTTTCCTTGCGCTGGTGCTCCAGGCCGTGTGCGCCGTTCCGGTCCGGGGTTCAAGTGCCCTGGGCCCTGAGGATATGTGCTCAAACGGCTTCAACCGTCGATCACTACACCCGGTCCCCTGTATTCACTCCTTCCGCCGCCTTCGAATACTTCCATCGACTCCGCCTCAATTTATTCGACTTCGCCGGCTGTTTAAATAGGATCGACAGCCTTATTTTCTTTGGATCGTTTGAATAGGATCGTCCGACCCGGTTTCTTTGGATGAGGTACGTGATTTCTTTTCTTCTTTTGGGATCTAGATGACGAAGCCTGTACTGATGGTTGTTCACCATCAGCACTGCCCCCAGCCAAAATGACCAGCCCGAGCTGTCATCTCAAAGCTAAGCCTTCTTGTCGATCCCGAAAACGCAACCGAGGAAGAATCCGATGCCGAGTCCATAGCCGATACCGGAGTCGATCCTTTGAAAATTGCCCAGACCCCTGCAGCCATATTCGTCTTCGGCCTCATTGGTATCTGGTTTCCAGAGTTCACGGATGGTCTTTCCCGTTTTTTGGAGCAACTCAAAAGGTGAGCGCTTCGCTCCTCCTCCTTCTGATTCCCCAGCACCCATCAGTCCATCGTATTAGTAGTAGTAGTAGTAGCATTGTCTCATAGTTGTATCCAAGGTTGTGTTCGCTTATCTACCGTGTCCTTTATCTAGATAAAAATGGCCCGGCTACTTCCTTCACTTCCATCTACCGATCCGAGCCCCGGAACTGATCACTCTTATCCGGGCCGGTTTTCTCCTCCCAATACCTCTTCCAATGGTGGGATTAATATTGATGAGGCGATAGCTCGCCACTTGCGCCCACCTCCTTACCACAACCTGCCACGTCCCCCTCATCTTCCCTTTCCTCCAGCTGTCTACTCCCCTATGCACGGTGGTGTAGGCCAACGAGGTCGAGGCCGAGGCCGAGGCCGTGGCCGACTTCACCCTGCTCAGTTCAGGATTCAAGGTCGAGCCAATAGAGTTTTCCACCCCAATGGACCAGCCATTGGGGTTCCATTTGGCTATGGTCATGGTCCTGTAAGTTGTTTTTGGAGATTGTTTTTGGGTTCGTTTTCCGTACTGATACATGTTTTGAAGAATTTGATGTCCAATCGTATCCAGGTCGATCCCGATCAGTTCCTAGCGGGTCTCGTTCCTCAAGCTTAACCTGCTGCTCAGTCTCACCCTGCCAGTCCCAACCTGCCCGCTAATGTTGCTAGAGAACCCAGCAACACTGCTTCGGTCGCCTCCAGCGAGAGCTTCAACACTGCCGAAGACTTCTTAACTCCGCAGATTCGAGTTGCATCTCCAACTCCCGCTGGTATGTATGACCCTGATGACTACCATCACTTGGCTCGTCACCAAGTCGAGTCTTTGTTGGATCGACGCGCTGCACCCGAGCGGTTTGACCGCTACGAGTTTACTCCCCAACACTTCGACGATTTCTACCAATCTGCGACAACTGCCCTTGTCCACCACTTTACTCGTCACCCCGCGGCCAATGCCAACGAGAGACAAGATCGTGTTAGGTTGTTTCGCTTCATCACCCGCCGATGCCGTACCATGACCCGTCGTGTCGTATGAGTGTAAGTTCTTTCCGTTCGAAGTGTTTGCTCGTGCAAGGAAGTTACTGATTTAACTTCTTCTTTACCCAGGTTTCGTCGCCGAGATCGATTCTGCTGCCTGAACATTGACGGACAGCCAACTCCCGGGGTAAAACTTATTAAAGCCAAAAAAATTGCCATATAATTTTCTTTAACCTAAAAAAAGTATTAAAACTTTTCTTAAAGCTAAAAAAAAAAATAGTCTAACATAAACTTCAAAAAAAAAATCTTGTCTAGTCTCAGCCTTAACTGTTTTGTTTTAGCCTTACTTCTAGATTATCCTGCTTGCTTTTATCAATACAAGCCCAAACCCCTCCCCCAACTTAAAAAAAGGTTGTCCCCAACCTCAATTTAGTGAGAGACTTGAGTGAACTTGAAATAAGGCAAGTAAGAAGGAAGAGGAGCAATCCTCAACTAGTAAGGTTACTACCAGAGAGAAAGCAAAGAAAGAAAGAAAAATGATGGAATAAGATGGAAAGATTCCTCCCCCAACTTAAGTAATTTTTAGCCCCATATTCCCAAGTACAGGTGAGTTTCCTCCCCCCACTTAAAAAAATGAAACCAATTACATTGATTGATTCTAGTTTTATCTGGGTAAGTTTTTAGGAAGGATTGGTGTTTTTACTGAGGAAGAAAACAGAAGAGAAATTGTTTTGAGGCAAGAAAGAAAGAGAAAAGGAGAAAAATCTGTGAGAGAAAAAAAGAAAAGATTGAAGAATGCATTTTTTTTTTTTTTTTTTTTTTTTTTTTTTTTTTTTTTTGGGATGATCCCTATGTATATTATTATTTTATTATTTTTACGTATGTTTTTGTGTTTTTATATTTATGCAAGTGATTTTTTTCTTTGGATTTATGTGTTTTTTCTTTATGAAAGGATATTAGGCTGAAAAAAAACTTAAAGAAATTGATTTGAAACTGATGTTGTTAATTTTTAGAGGTTTGAACAGTTTAGTCTCATGCCCAGGAGGTATACTTATTCAGAGGTGTCCGATGAGGAGCCGCCAGAATCGTCGTCCGAAGTATCCGCCTGTTCCGGGTCTTCATCCTGTTGAATTTCATGAAGCTCTCTTCCACGGGGGTAAAAGCGTTTGACATGAGATGCTGCGTAAGCTCTTTTCAATTCAACTCCGTCCAATTCTTCCAGAATGTAAGATCCCTTAGGTAATTGCTTCTTTATTTTGAAAGGTCCATTCCAGCGGTGAGAAAAAAGTTTTCCCCATTGATCCTCCAAACTTTTATTGTAAACCAAAACCAATTCGCCCGGATCCAAAGGTTGTCGTAGCCTAGCCGCCATTCGCCGGTCCCAATATCTGATTGAAGATTCCCTGGTTTTCATAAGTTTTTCATGAGCCAAAGCCAAGATTTCCTCCCGTCGCTCCAGTTGTTTGGTTCGAGCTTCCAAAAGGTCCTCAGTTGTGTCCACTTCTACCCAGTCTATTCCAAGATAAGTATCCATCTCAATGTCCACTGGTAGAACAGCTTTTTGTCCAAACACAAGCTCATAAGGTGAGTATCCTGTTGTCCTTTTTGTTGAAATCCTGTCCGAGAAGAGTACTAATGGTAAATATTCCCGCCATTTTCCTCCAGATTCGCCACAAATTTTGACCAGTGTGTCTTTGAGAGGCCGGTGTCCACGTTCAATCATTCCATTTGCTTCCGGATAGTAAGGTGTAGGTGGCTTGTACTCAGCTCCAATGGCTTTAACAGCATTAATAAATTCTCCTTTGAATTCTGGTCCATTGTCTGCTGTTACTGTTTTTATCGAGCCATACCTATAGACCCATTCTTCTAAGAGAAATTTACTGATTGTTGCTGCTGTTAATTTGACCAAAGGAGCTGCTTCCACCCATCCAGATAAATCGTCCCGTGCCACAAGCAAGTATTTGTATCGTCCAGCCTTGATGTGACAAACATCCAACGCCACTCGACCAAAGAGACTGCTTTCACCTGTTGGGTTCCGAATTTCCCTAGGCACTAGTGGATCTCTCTTTTGACAGGATTCACAGCTTTGTACCCATAGCTTGACTTTCTTTTTCAAACTAGGCCACCAAAATCTACAAATCAGTCGTTGATAGGTTTCCTCTAGTCCTCTGTGTCCAAGATCCTCGTGAACTTTCCACAATAGTTTACTTTGGTAAGCTATATTGGAAATAACTAGTTGAGCCATTGGTGAGTGTCTTCGCATGAGTCGTCCATCTTGAATGAAGAATTTTGCTGATTTCCTCTTGAGCTTCTGAAATTCTTCTGGGTCCAATCCTGCAGGTTTCTTCAGGGTGTTCAGATAATCCTTGAGGTCTTTCCAGAATCCAGTTCCCTCCCATTCAAAAGACTGTGTTGATATTGTGGTTTGATGGGAAAAAACTTTAATAACTGGTTCATCTTCATCAAAATCATCGGGTTCATTATAAAATTCGTCGTCCTCTTTGCTTATGGGTCGTCTAGATAGGGCGTCCGGTAAAGTGAATGTTTTCCCTGGTTTGTGTACCATGTCAAATGAAAATAGCTGTATGAAAGCCACCCATCTGGTCATTGGTGCACTTGGCAGTGAAGGAGAATTGATCATCTGAATTAATGATTTTGCATCCACTCGAAGCTCAAAATGTTGACCCCAAAGCAATGTTTGTAGTTTCTTCAAAATCCTAGCCACACCGCAGAGTTCCAATTTAGGCTGAGAGTATTTTGATTCCACAGGAGAAAACACCACTGATTCGTAAAGTACAGGTCGATCCAATCCAGTATCCAACTCCACTTGAGAAAGTACAGCACCTGCTGCTAAAAAACTAGAATCCACGGCCAAGATAATGAGTCCTGCGCCTTCTGAGTAATCCAGGTTTTTGAGAGTGATGTCTTCGCCAATTATTTGCTTGAGTTTGTTGAAAGCCTGGTCGCATTCCATGTTCCACGTTGTGGAACTACTCAACCAGGGAGATAGAGCTTGGAGGGGATATAGACAACTACACTAGTACTAATGTAAGTTGAGACTACAGGTGCTGATGAGGCTGCCCTCCTGTACAATGCTGATGGGAAGAGTGTAACACTAAGAAAAAGAAGAATAGAGGTGTGGCTGATTTCTACTTTATCTTAGACTACTATTACTGATGAGCTTGTGTATGTAGTACCTACTGAGGTGTGAGGAGGAGGAGCAATGAGGTGTGATGGGATAATACTGGCAAGGGTGTAACACTGGCAAAGAGGAATGGCACTGGCAAAGGGTGATAATCTGGCAAATGAGGATTTATAACTGGCAAGGGGGTATAACTGGCAAAGTATAGCTGGCAAATATAACTGGCAATGATATCTGGTAAAGATATAAGGGTGATGATAATTTCTAGTACTAAAACTATGGATAGACTAACATAAAGCATGCATGGAAATCACATGAGGGAAAAAATACATGAGGAGGAAGGAAGAGTATATATGTGTACAACATGTACATACAACAGCAAAGCACCATGGCTGGGGAAATCCTGGCTATGGGTAATGTAACTCTTAAACAGTAATGAGGGATGAGAAATAATGTAACCTAGAGATAGATTTTCTGTGTATACAAGTGCTAATCATAGATGGAAAGTCAAAGCTGTGTGAAGAGAATTATGTATATGATGTAGTGTAGTTAAGATGATGTACTATGATGAAAGAGTGATGCTACATAGATACTGTAACTAGATAATGTGTAACGTATATGTACTGTATGTACAAAGTAATGTACTGTTCTGTAACTATGAATATACTGAAGAGATGATAACTAGAGAACTACAAGAGCTAATGAAAAGCTGTAAGAGGTGACTAGGGGTGAAATGATGTGTAGAATCTGAATATGAAATAATACTGGGAAAAATATTTGTAAAATGCTGTGAAAAATGAGGATACATGGAAAGGTATGGACATACCACATCCTCCCCCAACTTATTGTCTGACCCCAGACAACTGAAGGAAAGAAGAAGAAAAAGAAAAGAAAGGGGAAAAAGTGAACTGGAGAGTAAGAATGAAGAAAGAACAAAAAACCCATGGAAGTTGTCCAGTGATCCAAAGCAAAAGTCCTCAGAGTCCTGTGATCCTGAAAGCCAATCCTGTGTCCAAAAGTCCAAGTCCAAAGAAGTCCAATCCAAAGATAGTATTCCAAAGAAGTCCATTCCTGAAAAGATCCAGTCCAAGTGGTCCAATCCAAAAGAGTCCAAAAGAAGATGAAATCTTGATCCAAAAGACCTGATGATGATTATAAAATAAATCTTGAGTGTACATAACTCAACTATAACTACTACTATTTTAAATTCTGCTGATAAGATTTTCTAACTAAGGGATAATACTGGCAAATGGTCTAATACAAAGCTGTCTCAGCTTGTAAAACTAACCCTAAAAATAACTATTACAAAAGCCAACTGGGCCTGTAAAAAGCTACTGATGATGTTCTGGTGTCCTTAGTATAGAAAATAATAAAAGCCTACTGATAAAAGTTTGAGTATGTTATAACTGGAAAGTGTAAACCTGGGAAATGATGATGTAGTTATATCTGGTAATTTAAATGCTACTGGGTTTCTAATTATGAAGGCTGATGGATGATTATGGATGTGTACTAATGTAAATCAGATAAATGTACTGGAAAATAATGTGGAAGGTACTAGTTGAAGACTACTCAAAGGATGGATAGTGAAAAATAAAGTGTCTGGATTATAGTGCTGGAAAAATATGACTGTAAATATTTGATGACCTCAAAAGAAGTGGGAGGGAGACTGATCCAAAGAAGACAAGATTTTTATCCAGAAAGCTGATGAAGGAGTGAAGCTGGATCCAAAGAAAAGAATTTATGATGGATGAAAGGAGATTGATGGATTCTTGGAAGCTGATGAGGGGATGATATTGGCTGATTATGATGGTGATGGAAGAATAAGAATTCAGGATGATGGTTGATGCTGGAAAAGTGGTGGATGAATATTTAATGGTGGATGGAAAGAATATTGATGGATGAAAGGATGTTGAAAT